TCAGCTGGTATTACAACAATTTTTTGTAATATGCTAAATAGTAAGGCAAAGAAAGTGTTGAAATTGTATAAAACATGTATTACAACATAATGTAACGGAGGAACATAAGTTCCTCATTGTTATTATTATTGCATTATATGATTGCAAAATATTAAATTTTTGTATTCAAATACCCGTTATTTTTAAGATGTATTAAATTCTACTTGTTTAATTTGTTGTTTGATATTATTTTGTGGAATTAATTAATATTGCAATTATTTCATTATCAGTTTTAAATCAAATTCAATTTAATTACTAGTTAAAAGTTACATTGCATTTAGATATATGAAAATATTTTATAATGTTATCAAGAAAATATATACGTGTGTTTTATTTTAGAATATTTTATAGTGAAATAGTTTATTTAAATAATTAGGTTATTTTTACTAGGTGTGTTAATTCTGGAAAACCCTGTTTTCAGATATAGTGTTATTCCTCATTTTATTGGTTATAATTTTTTTTGTGCATTTTATATGTAAAATGTATGTGTGACTTGAAAAAGAATCATAGAAGAATTGTGGAGTTTCATTCAACCCCGTTTCAATATGCCAAAGAATACTTTTTTAAAATTTTTATTAAAACATGTATTACAACATAATGAAACAGGAGTATTGTAAGTTCCTCATTGATATTATCACTTTCCATCACTGGGAAAATTTGTGCCTGTCAATTCAGTAAAGTTTACTTCCCAATCATTTCCTGCCGTTAAACTTTTATAGCCCAAGCAGTTGCAGTATCAACAGGTGTTTTCCCTGTGCCATCTCTCGCCTAACCCCATTAGGTCTTGACATAGGAAAAGGTCGGTCACCACCTGCTTATAGCAGAAGGAAGTGGCATTTGAAAACAGTAGAGAGACCTGTAACCCAAAACCTTTGCTGGTGCCTCCTTGCTACTGGGGGATTACGCTACTATGGGACAGACTTCATATAAACACTCCTCCAGATGGGACTGTCCTTTTAAAGCTGTTGAGTCAGTCTCTGGTTGCAAACCTAGATGTTGTTTACACAGTCAGGAATATAGACGTAGTTGAAATGCATGATTTAAACCTGGAGTTTGATATGGTAGTGTGAATAAATGCGGCCTTTTATAACGTTATAACTCTGGAAGTGAAATCCATCAGATGTGCATTCCCCATAAAACAACGTGACATGTTTGCACCCCTTTTATGTTTTATAACCTCAATATTTGCCGTTTATGAAATCCAACCTAGTGTGCCAGAGTGTTAGCAGGCTTATAAGTGTGTGAGAGAGTTAGTATGTGGGTGTGTAAGAGCCACACCTGTCCTCGTGTCTGAACTTGTGCCATATGTTGTGCCAGCATAAGTAGTCTGTCTCCCACGAAACTAAGACAGCTAATCCCCATTGGTCACTTGTCTGTCTGAATCTGCTAATATGATATCACTGGTTTTATTGCACACTAGAGCTGAACGATTAATCAAAACTAAAATCAGAATCGCTATTTGGCTTATTTATCAAAGTGCAACGGTTGAGATTTTTTTAGACAAACATATGTGCGTGTATTAGGGTGAAACGTGATACTGTGTTAATTTATACGCCTAACAGTGTTTAGTGTCTCAGTTCAGAATTACTACTTTACACAAGCTGTGTTTCTGCAATCACTGCAGTTGCTTTGCTTATAACGTGCATTTGAAACGCAGCACTCGCCATACATTTCACCAGTTTTTTTTTAATGATAAGTTTCGAAATGAAAAAAACAAGAACCTTTTTGATAAAGTAAAAATTTAATTGTTCAGTGTTTAAAAATGAAGAAATTAAGGCATGAATATTAGTATTGCAATTTGACAGTTTTACAGTAAAATATATTATTATAATTTCACTTAAATACTTTTGTTTTGCAGTAATGTAGTAAAATGTAGTATTTTTTGCATATTTTAATCATTAAATGAAAAGAATATTCATGCCTTAACTTAATTTAAAAACGAAGAAATTAAGGCATGGATATTATTGCAATTTGACAGTTTTACAGTAAAATAAATTATTATAAATGTACTTATACTTTTTTATTTTTTGCAGTAATGTAGTAAAATTAAAATTTTTTGCATATTTGAATCATTTATAGTTTTTATTATATAATAATAATAATAATAATTATTATTATTATTATAATTTTTGTTATTTATAGTTGTATAATACAACTATAAATGACATAATCACACAATTTTTGGCCAAATTGTGAAGCCCTACAAAAAATCTGATTTTATAAATCACAGTTGAAATTGCAGTTTTTTTAAATTATTTTTTTTGGTTCCAAATCGTGCATCCCCATGGCACACTTACAATGCTTTGGGAGCTTTATAAATTTTCCCTTCAGGCTTTTCCCTTCTTTGTTATTTGGCCTCTGTTTTTCATGTAATTCTTTCAACAATCCATCTTGCTTATTTTAAGTCTCTTATAATAGCATAAGGTTTTGTTTTGATGATTGTGACTGTATAAAAATGTAAACAGCATCTGTGAAATGACTAACACAGGCTAATGCTTTTCTTCCCCTCTGTTCTTTATAGGTATGGCCTCACAGGTTACGGTCTGCCCACCACATGTTTATCAAACCCAGACAAGTGCCTTTTGCAGAGCGAAGAAAATCAATCCCAGCAGCTGTGTTTACCATGAGAAGATCCCTCGCACTTACGTGGTCGGTGTGAATCTAGGCATTGCGCACCCTACGGATATTATACCTTTATCGAGAATCGAAGCTTTGACTAGCGAGAAACCCTGCGTCGCATGGGACATCTCGAAACAGACTGATACAGCTCCACAGGAGCTCCTCGGAAGTGCTTCCTCGCCATACAAACGTGTGGCATCGGAGGACGACCTTCAGTATTTCTCCAGAGCGGCCGCGGCAGTTGAAAAAGAAAGTGGAGACGGTGGCCAAAACAGCCAAAGTAGTAGAAGCAGTGGCGGTGCTCCAGAAGGGGCGGAGCGGATCGAGAGAAACGGTGGTTTGAATTCGTTCGACGGAACCCAAAGATGTGGGTTTAAATGCAAAGGGGAGGAGCTTGAGAACGGCAAGAGCATCATGCAGATAGTAGAGGAGCATTCGACTCTACCTGCCATGTTGCAAACAAACGTTGGGAGCACGACTGCAGTAGGCGTGGCCCCGCCCGTGCAGAACGCAACTGGGACGGGAGCCGTGAGCGGGACAGGTGATGGCGAGTATCAGTTGGTCCAACACGAAGTGCTGTGCTCCATGAAGCACACCTACGAAGTGTTGGAGTTCTTGGGACGTGGTACGTTCGGTCAGGTGGTCAAATGTTGGAAGCGAGGCACCAATGAGATCGTGGCGGTGAAGATACTGAAGAACCACCCGTCGTACGCCCGCCAGGGCCAGATCGAGGTGAGCATCCTGGCCCGACTGAGCGGGGAGAATGCCGAGGATCACAACCTGGTGAGGGCTTTCGAATGTTTCCAGCACAGACACCACACATGTCTGGTGTTTGAGATGTTGGAGCAGAACTTGTACGACTTCCTCAAGCAGAACAAGTTCAGTCCGTTGCCGCTGAAGGTGATTAGGCCCGTTCTGCAACAGGTGACCATGGCGCTGAAGAAGCTCAAGAGCTTGGGCCTGATCCATGCCGATCTTAAACCGGAGAACATTATGCTGGTAGATCCTGTGAGGCAGCCCTTCCGTGTGAAAGTGATTGACTTTGGCTCTGCCAGCCACGTCTCCAAAGCTGTGTGTTCGACGTACCTGCAGTCTCGCTACTACAGGTAAGTTGTGCTTTTTTGTTTCCTCTAATAGGCTGACTACCAGTTGTTATGTCTGTGTTTAAGCATAAATAGACTTTTGGAATTTGTGGCAAGTATAAAGATATAATTTGTGGTGTTCGTTTGGAGGAAGTCAAACTGAGGAAGGTTTACTTAAGCCACACTTCCTGTCAGGACAATTATGTAATTCTGTCTATAGCTTTTGTCAAAGTTTGATGGTAAGCTCTCTTTGTAACCGCCATGGAGCTACACCCATACTAACTTTATATAACTCCAAAAAAATAAATAAACATGACGCACTAAGTTTTCGACTAGTTTGGTCCCATCTCGTTTGCTTTTTTTCTAATGGGGTCAGTTCAGTCCGTGATGGCTGTACTTTGTTGTCTCTATGTGGTTGGCAGTTCTTTAGGAAGAATGTGGTTTGCTGAAGTGATTCATGGGATGTGGAAGAACATGGAAACGGTCTTAAATTAGAATATTCCAGATGTTTGTGTTTTAAGTTAGTATTTTTTAACCTCAATTTCCTTTCATGCTTTCGGTCTATACTGTAGTAAATGGATAATTCAGCCAACCTCATGTTGTTCTAAAGATGTGTGACTTATTTGCTTTTTCAGAACACACAGTGCACAATACATTATGCATTATTATGCTTTCAAAAAGTTTGGAGTCTTTTTTTTTTTTTTCAGCAAGGATGCATTAAATCAGGGCTGCCCAAACTCGGTCCTGGGGGGCCGTTGTCCTGCAGAGTTTAGCTCCAGCTTGCCTCAACACACCTGCCTTCAAGTTTTTAGAATGCCTAGTAAGTGCTTGATTAGCTGGTTCGGGTGTGTTTAATTGGGGTTGGAGCTAAAATCTTCAGGACACCGACCCTCCAGGACCGAGTTTGTACACCCCTGCGTTAAATGGCACTAAAGACATTTATAATGCTATACAGAATTTCTATTTGAAATTAATGCTGTTCTTTTGAGCTTTCTTTTCGTCAAAGAATCTGAAGAAAATGTATCACAGTTGACATAAAAATAAGCAGCAACATTAGAAAAATATTTCTTTAGCAGCAAATCAGCATAATTAGATTGATTTTTGAAGGATGATATTACACTGAAGATTTGAATTATGATGCTGAAAATTCAGCTTTGCATCATAGAAAATTATTTTAAATTGTAATATTTATATAATATTTCACAAATGACTGTTTTTTTTTATAACTGTATTTTTCATTAATTTAAAAAAAATAAATAGACATCTTTTTAAATAATCTAAAAATCATACAGACCACAAACCTTTGAATGGTAGTATATGTACTTTGAAGATTTTTTGTCTGTTAGTGGGGTCCAAGACAACATTAAACTCAATAACTTTCACTGTGTGGACAAAAACACTTCAAAACATCTTAAATAAGAAAATGGTTCAGGTTTGGAACAGTGTGTGTGGTTGAGTAAATTTTATTTTTGGGTGAACTGTTCCTTTAAGACATGTTTGCCTCTTGAAAGGCATACGAATAGGTATCGAACATAATGTGAAATTGCAGTGTGGAGTACAGTCTGTCTCTGTAAACGTGCTCTGTTTGTGGGGAAGCTATCAGCGAACAAGATGGAGGAACTAGCGCTAGTTTAAATAGGCCATTTGAACTCTTTGTACTTTGCCACAGCCACAGTTTGATGCCTGCAACTGTATGAACTCACGGCCCAAGCAGGTGGCACATGTGAATGTTTCGCTTTGCATGGGAATGAGATGCATTGAGGAACATGTCTGTTGGTAGTCCTGTCTTTGCACTCAAACAAAGTGTGATAACACAGATGTTTTTATAGAAGCTTATGAATAATCATTCACTCTCGCTGGTTTTTCCCTTTTTCTGGGAATTTGTTTATGAGTCTTTACATAGTGTTCATGTTAAATCATTACAAAAGTACATTTTAACAAACAACGTACTTAATGTGCATTTATTTTGAGGGGTTTGTAATTGCAAATTTTTTGCTATTGTAAGAAATTAGTTACAAGTAATGTTTTTTAACATCATTGTAATATAAAGTGTTAACTTCATTTATTAGCATCTTCCCCTTCTATTTGTTTATAAAGTGCACATTTTGTTCTATAAACAAACATAAGTGCTTATGGTTAACTCAATTAGTGTTCAAGTATTTTGTTAAACCTAATATGTTTTGTTATTTATCAAATTTGAAAGTTTTATGTCTTTGCATGTCAGATATTGCTGTTTTTTTCATAAGCCCCATGTTGTGGCCTCAGTGGGGGAAAAGGGCAGCGTGTGCTTCTATTTTCCATTTGTCCCCTGTTTCTGTCGGCATTATCGATGTCGTAAGAATCCATAGCTTGTTCCCAGCACAGATCTGGCTCGCCTAAATTTAGGGCGGATCTCGTTGTGTTCATAGACGCTGTGGTATGTGAGGTTGTCATGACAAGCATTTATTTTTCGTACTTCGAGCAGGCTGTGTTGAGCACGTACCCATGTGTCAGGAAGTGAAATTTTGCAGGTGTTGTCAAATAGCAGAGCTGTTTGTGAACTGGTGTCTGTATGTTTGTCAAACATTTTCTCATTTTTATAAATAGAAGTGTGCTATTCTGAGTGAAACCTTATAATAATTTATCTTTTGTACAGCGATGTAGGCCTAGTACTTACGTTTTCAGTTCAGTAGCACAGAAGGATATTTTTGCATTGTCATTTAACTGTTTAAACTGTTTTGGTTTATAATTTAAGCTTAATTTTCTCCCCAGTCAAGTGATATTGTGTAGAAGTTAATGAACAAATGTCAGTGTATTTTAGACATTAGTTTAGACAAATTTGTCACTAGGGATGGGTATCGTTAAGGTTTTAACGGTATTACTACTCTTACCGATACTGCTTATCGATTCGGTACTTTAACGGTATTCTTATCGGTACTTTTTGTTTTATATATATATATGTATGTATGTGACAAATTAAGAGCTGAATTAACGTTGCTTTATATTCTGAAATGTAAAATAAATATTTAATGAAATTAATATAAAACATAAATTTGTAAATGAACCAGTGTGCAGGCATTTTTTGTGTTTTATACATAAGATAAGATACAGTAAGAACAAAGAAACAAAGTAAAACAAACAGACAAATACAATAAAACAAATATACAAATGAAATGAAATAAAACAGTGCTGTCATTTTTCCATGAAGTTCTACTAACATTACTGTTCAGGTAAGTAATAGCCTACAAAAGAAATCTAAAAGTAATCAA